ATTATCTTTTCCTCCGTTCGAGTATGAATACACGTATCGGATTAATATCGAAAGGGTTTATTGCTCGAAGCGATGATGATTCGTTTCTGATCCGTATCTCATTAAAAATAGCAAGAAAATTGTACGAAAGAAAATATATTATCGTGATATTTTTCTTCTTCGTGATACACGGCCGTTAATTGTAGACATGAATGGAATTATGACTTTCTTCCCCCCTGAAGGGAAGAAGAGAATAAAGGGAACTGATAAATAATGGGACAAAGGAGTACGGGCACAATGCGAAGTGTTATTATTAGTTTTTCCTTGGATATTGTGCTCCGTTCATTTATTTTTTTTTCTTTTTTTTTATATTACAAGAAAACACAAGCTGCTACGTAGATAATAATAATAAGGAAACGAAGATGTAAGACGTAATGAGGGATTTAGAGGAAAAAGGGGAATTTGTAATAAGATATGGTTGTATCGTGGAACGTTTAAATTTAATACCGAAATTCCACGTGTTGCTATCCACGAGACATTTGGCTTTCAGCCAAACAAGTGTCACTGATTATCTGGAACTTTAAAGAAATATCTACTAATAATATCCTGTCGGTCTTCGTATCCTGAACGCGATAATTCGAAAAGAAATTTTATAGATGATCATTTCTGATAAATTGTACGTCGAGAAGATAATATAATACAATAGGAATTCGCATTTCCAGTAATAAAATCATTCCAACACACGGTGTTTTTTATTATTTGAAATATGATATTTTTTTTTGGCGATGATTGAATTTTTACCGTATAATCTTGGCAATCATTGAAATCGATGAATGAAGTTAATTGCTCTGTAAATAATTTTCAAAATATTTGATCAAAGCATTCGTTCGTTCCATATTTACTTTTACATTTAACTGTCGTTTACTCGTTTCTCAAACAATGCGAAAATAAATTAACGGGCGTTAAAAGAGAGTGGTAAAGCAAATAGTTGAAACGTTAAGACGATTGTTCCACGGGTAAGGAAAGAAAATAATGGCGGTCGATCGACCCTCATTAATCGACATTGCGCGAATTTTCTCACAGCAATGTTTTTGCCATCTCGTTTTTTCCCCTTCTCGTTAATAAGAATTTCTAAGTGCAAGTCGAATGAATCTTGACAATTGTCATTTCTTTTTAATCTGTGCTCAATAATAAGATAGATGTCGAAATAAAATTCTCTGATTTTTTAATAAAGACTTTGATATTTAATAGCAAAATATTTTCGAATTCTGTGCAATTGAAGCTACCATTTTTAATTTCAGAATTCACAGTAGAAAATTGCACGCGAAGGCTTCTCACTTTCCATCATGATTACAATGATTAATATTTTCACATCAAATTTATAAAGAAAATAGTTCAAAAAATTTCATTCAATTCTTATCCCGTTGATCGATTCTGACAATATTCAGAAACAATTCATTTTTATGTAACAACTTGAAAAATTAACTCTCTCTAACCTGTAAAATAGTACCGATAAGGATGCAATTTATACGTCATTATTTTCAAATTTCGGCTTACGTTCCCTCTTTCTCTTTCGAAGCTTAACAAACGGCAAACAATTTCCTACCAGATTCTCGACTATCACCTTCAGTTCAGTTTGTATATTAATGCAAATTTCGATGAACTTTCCGCTTGAAAGGGCAACGAATAATATTTCAGCGCATCGATAGAACCGCGGATAACCTTTTCCATTGGATACCGATAATGATTCCCCGTCTAATGAAACTGGAGAATACACGAAGCGTGATAAACGAAAACGAGATAGCGAATAAGGCGAATTTTTCTGATAATGATACTTTTTCCTGAATACGTTTCTCGAAACGATAACGATCATTCTTGGACAATCATTAGGAAGTTTAAGCGAGAAAGATCGAAATAAAAAGTTGGTATTGCTCGTTTCAAATTTTAGTTATAAATTATAGGTAGAAAAATTAATTTTTGCCCAGGCACATTTATATATATATATCTGTTTATTTTCATCGTGTCCCTTCATTCTCGCAGACTCTCGTGCAAAATTTATACAAATATAACTAAATTTTCTTAATGTCGTTCCTTAAATGTCGCCATATTTTTTTTATCATATATTCTAAGTAAGTTTTTACAGAAAGTAAACAAATTTCAAATTTTGCAATAAGTGCAACGAGTTGTATCCGCGATCTAATTATTACAAATAAATTCTCGAACGATTAAATGACACCAAAAATATCTCTCTAATTTTAACAGAAACTTGTACTTTTTGCTATTCATTCGAGTAAATAAAGATTTTCCTGCAAAAATTCTTATTTTTTTTTCGGAACAAACGAGCGCCAAGTTTGCCAAATCAATTTACCAATTTTCTCGGGCGATATTTTGCACGTGTTCAGAGAAAAAGGGGGGGAAAAAAGGGAGACAAGTTGATGAAATTCGAAAAATGGGCCGCGAAAACGTGACACGGAAACGGCGCATCGTATTTACGAATATGAATCAAGATTCTCCGTTGCATCCGTCCGCTATGGTTGTAGTTGATACGAGCTTATGCAAAGTAGCGAACCGAGCATAGAACGTGCCGCTTTCATGGAAATCAACCTCTTCCAATGATTCGAGGCCGGGGGGGGGGGGGGGAAAGTTGCATTTTTTAATGGAACGTAATGGGAAATCTTCCGTGTAAAATCCATAAAGGAAATTGGAAACGACGTGGAAACCGACATGGAAAATTTACAAATGACAAAAAGAAATAAAATAAAATAAAATGGATATTTATACTCATTCGTGTGATTCAGAAATTCTCTTTTCAGAAATCATTCTTGATTTCTCTATCCCGATTTTCCTAACAACAAATTCATATTTTTAAAATCATTTTCTTTATCTCGTCGCCTAATCTGCATCGTCTCTCCTTCATCAAATCCTTATTCACTATTAAATTCTCAAAACTTGAAGTTATATAATATGGCTTCAAATTATTAACCATTGTATTAAGCATTTGCATATTCTCATCCGCGCTTCCATTCATCACCCGCGATACCGCCATAGATTATTCCTGAGTAACATCAAGATCCTTAACAATAACTTGTTGAACTTTGTAAGCTGAACAACTAAAACCTTAATCCTCTTACATCAAAGATCCCTTAGTATAATCATCGCTCAGCCTCCCTCTTATTATTTAAACTACTTCATGCATGCTTAATAAAATTTCTCTTCCATTCGAAGCAGTAGACGATTAAAATGAAAGAAAAATTAAGAATCATCGAAACCTCAGAACCTGATCTCTCATCAACAAGATTCTTGCGAGCTCGATCGCTCTCGACGAATAACTGAGCGGAAAATCGAAACGAATCCGTCCAAATCTGCTACACCAAATTGAAACGTTTAACCATCCAGGCCACGTTCAGCTTAGTTTCGTTCCATCCGTTTGGGGGTTCATTCGTTCCCGTAAACATTCGGGAGTTAGAGGGAACACCTGACGAGATCTCGAGTTTCTCGACCTGTGTTTGCTCAGTTTACGAACGCGGTGGTGAGCTTGCGGTTTTCCAAAACGCCGAACTCTCAAGTCGACGCATAGCTTGTTCACTTCTCCTGCTGCTCTCCCCTCTCCTCGAATCGTCAACGAGATTTACAGCTTTCTCGATCAAAATACATACCTCTCGTCCCATATTCATGCAGTTGCATTGTTCTTGTTGTTGAAAAGAAAATGATCTTACGCGCGAGTTTTATGGAATAAGATAAGAGGCGTGTATTAATAGGATGACAAAAGGGTGGAAGAGAATTTATGTTAAATGCTCACGCAAGGAAAAATTAATATTTTGCTTCTTTCTCCATGATTGTACATTATTTTCTTTGAAAATTTTATATTAATTTTATAAAATATTAAGTTGATATTAAACAAGATTGATTCGACCGAACAGGGAAAGTGAAGTACATAAGATTGCGTGTAAATATCGCTATCAATTTACTTTCAGGATAATAGAACTTGGAAAATCTTAAAATTGGTTTCATTCAATATTGTTGCTCGTTTAATGTGTATATATATTTCGGATGTTCTAATTTGTTTACGCAAGTTTAATTCAACGTTCTGCGTCAATTGTATAATAATAATACGCGAAATTTCATCCGCGGACAGGAAAAATTGGAAACTGTTTACAATAACGTAAACAACTGTTTACTCGTTAATCTCGGTTATTTAAATGAATAGTTAATTAATCGTGTAGAACGTTCAACTGTTCGATATTTGCACGTACACGTACGATTCTAGAATAAAGTTTCGAAGTAACATGAAACTTTTTGACGAGTTGGCAAACACCGATCAAATCGTATTTGCAGAAAATTAATACGTCTAAGAGAATATAAAAGCTACGATTGGAAATTGAAGCGATTTAAACTTTTCAATCGCTCCCGATATAATACATCCATAGATCTTATATATAAAAAAAAAAAAGAACAGCTGCTACACACAAATTGATACCATTGTTGTCGATAATCGATTCGAAACCTCGGACGATTCGTTTGATCTCAAGGTTTTTCGATAGAGAGGCAAGAAAATTAATTTCTTCGCGCGTTCAATTCCATGAATCCTCTCCAACAAATTCTTTTTCGTCGAGTGAAGAGAAAAAGAAATTGATTCCATGGAGCCATAAATCGAATCTAAAATTTCTCCTTTTCTTCTGTTCCAGATTCGTCCGGTTCCGGAAAGCGGCATCAAACGTGCGCCACTGACTTTCCAGTTATCGCGGAAGTGCGATCGGAATGAAGTCGGCCCCATCGCCTTGGTTGACGCAGCCGTCCCTCCTTCGATTCCCGACAGAATACGCGGAACGCGCATTTAACCGGTGAAAACCGACCCAACCCTTCGTATCTCGAACACCTTGGGTAACCTTGGATTCTTTCGTGATCTTCCCTAAGTGATTGGTCGCGGACAGATTTCTCAGATTCGAGCGAAGATCTCGAGAAAATTTATAAAGAGGAGAAATTTTTTTCGAGGAAGAACGTATCGATAAAACGACGACAAGATGAACAGCACGATAACGAGCACGACCATGATGAGCACCACGTGCGTCGATTACTCTCAGATAACGAGCCAAGAGGACTCGACGATCCAGAATTGCGAGGCCGATCTGCCGATCATCTCGTTGGTCAACCAGATTCTCTACTCCATCGTGTGCATCGTGGGCCTCCTCGGCAATACGCTGGTCATCTACGTGGTGTTACGATTCTCGAAGATGCAAACGGTGACGAACATGTACATCGTGAACCTGGCGATAGCGGACGAGTGTTTCCTAATAGGTATACCATTCCTGGTGACCACGATGAGCCTACGCAGTTGGATATTCGGGAAGATGATGTGCAAGGCTTACATGACGACGACTAGCATCAACCAGTTCACCAGCAGCATCTTCCTCTTCATCATGAGCGCGGATCGTTACATAGCCGTGTGCCATCCGATCTCCTCGCCGAAAATTCGGACACCGTTCATCTCGAAGGTGGTCTCGTTGACCGCCTGGGCAACCAGCGCCCTCTTCATGATACCCATATTTCTGTACGCGAACGCGATGGAATCCGAGAAAGGGATCAACTGCAACATCTACTGGCCCAACGATCGCGGAGGCCACACCACCTTCACCTTGTACACCTTCGTCCTAGGCTTCGCCATCCCGCTCATCCTCATACTGATCTTCTACTTCCTCGTGATCAGGAAGCTGCAAACGGTGGGGCCGAAGAACAAGTCGAAGGAGAAGAAACGATCTCATCGTAAAGTGACGAAGCTGGTGCTGACCGTGATCACGGTCTACGTTCTCTGCTGGCTTCCCTACTGGCTCATGCAGGTGGCGTTGATCTACACCCCGCCCAAACAGTGCCAGAGCAAGATCACCATCACCAGCTTCCTGCTGGCCGGTTTCCTCAGTTACAGCAACAGCGCGATGAACCCGATCCTCTACGCGTTCCTCAGCGATAATTTTAAAAAAAGTTTCTTGAAAGCGTGCACCTGCGCGGCCGGCAAGGACGTGAACGCGACGCTGCACATCGAGAACAGCGTGTTCCCCCGAAGGAACAAGGCGAGCGCGGACAGGCTTCAATCGAATCGGTTGGTCGCGTCCGGCCAATCGAGGCTCGAGCTGGAGGACGAGGACGCGGAGAGGGGGCTGTTGATCAGCAAAACCTCGACGACCACGGTGACCATGACGTCACGATCCAACATCACCATAGGCAATGAGCCGAAGGAGCAGGCACAGAGGGAGAAAGACGCGTTGAGGAACGGGGTGCAGCTGACGTTGTTGACTCAAGTCTAGAACGAGACGATGGGTGGACGAAGGGGAATGACGACTCAACGAAGCGGAAACAACGGTCTATAAACGAAGGAAGAGGCCTCTTTTCTCCTCCCCGTCGTGGTGGACCAATGAGCCCAGGATTCATCGTCGCGCGGGGAGAAAGAATTGCTTGTCGAGGAGTTTCAATCGATCGTACGGGATCGGGAGGATTTTTATTACGATATCATCGAATTTTCATTACGACGTGGTACCAAAGTTTCGAGCGTTGACCGACTCTAAATGCCCACTTTTCCGTATTTATTTTCGAGCAGTTAACGGGAGAAGGGAACAAGGCAAGAAGGTAATCGGTTGAGAAATGAAATGGACCGTTTCTTGATCCGACCTCCCCCCGTTATTCTTCGATATAGGTCAAGAGCAACATGGCTGTTTCTTCGTGTAACTTTGCCAAGACACTTCGTCGAAGTTCTCGATATCCATAAACGCAGATATTGGACGAATTAACCTCTTTTCGAAGGAGCTGAAGAGGCGAGACTAATTTTCTTGCAGGAAACAATCGTTCATGGATCGAGCATCAGAAAGTACGATCATCCCCCAATTTGCTTACATTGTTTCATTAACACGAAAGTTATTCTAATAAATAAATATATATATATATATATATTGTCACAATATCCGTATAAATCGTAAGAACGTGAAAGCTTTTTTATCGAGAAATTTCGTTAGGCAAATCGAAATTTATCTTCCCTATTTATATTTTATTTATTTCCATAGTGGAATCAATAGTTCGGGGGATGATTCGTATCAATATATGCATCGATATATATATATATTCGTGAAACAGTTTTGGAGAATCGATTCTAGAAGCAAAAAGAAAAAAAAAAGAAGAGGAAGTTTGAAATAGAAAAATTTCGATCTGATCAACGATCAAGAAATATTAAAGCCACTTGATATTTTTGTGTATCGACTTCCATTCGTTCGTTTGGCCTCCAAAAAAATATACCTTGTATATATTATACAATTATATTAACGTGTCATCGATCAATATCGATCGTTTCAACGAAGAGGAAGCGAACGATTCCGGGTGCCAAAAAAAAAAAAAAAAAACGACAGTCACGTTTCTCCATCGAGAGAAAGAGAAGACGTGTGTCTTATCAGCGCCTTTTCAGAGAAGAATTCTATTCGATCCACGGGTCAACAAAAAGATCAACACATCCTCGAGGAGAGGAACGAATTCTCTCCGGGGACAAAACGCGGCTCGCATAACCTTCTCCTCCTTATTTTCCTTGCCCTCCTCCATTATTTCCACTCGCTCGAACCTCCTCCTCCTCCTCCTCCTCCCCCCCCCCCCACCCTGGTGACAACACGCACATTGTTCAAGGGGGGAAATCGAGATCAAATTGTTTCCGAGACTCTCGATCCAAGATATCTCGCGAGCGATCTCGAGAGGTTTGCGGCCGCGTCTCGGTTATTTTATCGGTGTGTTTCGGATCGATTTGGTCGGTGGAAGATTCGGAACGATGAAATTCGTATGTAAATCATGGGACGAAGGATGAAGGCGAATATTCAACGACGCGTTACGAAGAATTTATCGGTACTAAGTTAGGAATTATTAAGCCACGAATCGAATTCCTCTGGGACAGAGGATCAATGTATTATTATTGCATCGAAGTGAACACCAGAAGAAAAAAAGTGAAGTTTATTTACTCGATTTGTTGGTGTTGTCGTTTTAGATTAGATAGAGAATCGTGATTCTTATTTGACTTGATAGAAGTTTAAAAGATGAAAATTCGTGTGTATCACGCTAATGATATTGTTAGGTTGTCCGAAAATAAGAATAAAAATAAAGAGATGTGGTTATCGAACGTAAAAACTTTTTTTAATTGATTCGTTACAAAAAAATTATTTTGCAAGGGAGACAATGGTAATAATAAATATTTTTAAAAATTTTGTACAAGCGACACAGCTTGAGATTAAGAAAGCTGTATAAATTTTGAAGATGTTTATTTCGAGTTGTTAAAGTAATGTAATTACTTTCTGGACAACCTAATAAATCCATAAATCATTTCATGCGAATTGAGCGAAAAATTCGATCAACTCTATGGCTGTCAATTGTCTTATAAAAGAACAAGAAAAAAAAAAAAAGAGAATCGTATCAACTTTCTGTACCTACATAAGTCGTGTAATGTAAAATAAATTAATTAGCGCATAAATGTATAAAGTCTCGAGAAGGAACGAATTTGTATTCGTAGGTGACACGTTGAAAAATCGAAAGAAAAGAATCGCAAGAAAGATCCATGCTTTGAAGAATCAATGGTAACCAAGCGTCATTCCATGCTTCTTCTTTCCGTTAATTTCAATATTATATACAATTGAATACAGACAATAATATACATAACTCGCGAAAAAATGGAATTAAGAATCATCATTGACGTTAGAAATTTCCTCTGAAAATTAACTTCAAAAAAATAATTGTTCTTTAAACGGTATTACAAGAATCGATATTTTTCAACGAATTAATATAATATCGAATGTTTATTGCTATCGTTAATTTCCATATTCCAACGGAATTTTTTTACTCTTATCAAATTTCCCAAATAAATTCACAAACTTCACCGTTTTAAAATTTTCAAATTCCAATTCGTTCGAATTTTCAGCGCACAACAATAAATTATCGATAAAACGATGTAACCATAAACATTAATGTATCTCAAATTTTCCAATTTTATTTTATAGATTGACCAACAAATTGTCAAAAGTACATTGTTGCTTGTCGAACAATACACAATGCGCAACAATTCCTATTGGAACGAAGAATCCAATACGCGGAGAACAACGATCGAGCCACGAGGTAACTTAAACAACTGAGCCTAAGCTTTCATTCTGGAAACTCTGGTTATTATACAAACGCGGACATCAAAGAAGACTTAAGGCTGTTTACACGAGCGGATCAGTCGTAAAACGAGCTTTCAACGTATCACGTGCGAGCACAGTTTGTTTCGACTCGCTAATTTCAGTCGACACACTGCAAGGAACGAAGCATCACGTGGCGTGTTTCTTCGCGAAATTATCCACGGGGACGATTTAAAAAAAAAAAAAAAGGGGCGTAAAAAGCTAGTAAAAACATTGCTGTGAAAATAATTATTTCGAACTGTCAGAGCGAACGAGGGAAAGAATCTTGAAACTTGTTCTCGTAACTGTGTGTTGAAAATGAGAATGAGAGACGAGAAAATGTTCCTTGTTTTTTTTTCAATTATCTATTGATTATTAGATCGTCGATACGAAAGGGTTGAGCGATACAATGAGAAATGAAACGAACAATGATGAGGATATTTTTGAAAAATTTGAAACCGAAGTGGGAATAATTCCTCTCGATCATCATTGGCATCGTTATCTCGATCGATCTTTATTTGATAATTTGAGCAGATTTAACACGAGATTACCGGTACTGATAATACCATCTGTAACGCCATTTGTGCTGGAGAATTATTATAGATAACGTGGATAAAGGATGCAAGTTAAATATAAAAAGCACAAAGGAGGGGAAAAATTTTTGAAAAATTGTTCGAAAAATCTATTATCACGTTCTCGTGGTTCTATCACACCGTGAGAAACGCGGTATGAATTTTTATTGAAACGTTAAATTCGAACATCTATCGAAGCAACGTATATTAAAATAAAAGTATAAATATTTTGTTTGGTGCTTAAACTCCGAAGGAAGAAATATAAAAATATATTTCGCGAAATATATTTTTCCTGTGTATTTTGGGAATATTCTTAAAATCAAAAACAGATTATGATATAGAATCCAATTAAATCGAGATTATATATCATTTCATGTATAATTTTACATATAATTTGAATATGTAATAAGATTCTTGGAGATGGATTTATTTAAAATTAAACAAATTAACGTTACACGATTACGGTAAACAATCGAACGAACGAAAAAGTTGTTATAACACCAAGATATTTATTTTAGTCTCATCGTATCTATATCTCCGTATTTTTTTTTCCCCCCCAACTTTTGTTGCTTTATTTTATAATTTTTTACTTTTACCGGGCTAAAATTTCCACAGGATTTCTTTGTTTCTTTAAAAATACCCCATAAATCACGCCATTTTCCAATAACAAGTAAACCACAACGAAATTACCTCAGTTTTTTCCAATTTCAACGTCGCTGCTTCAATTTATCACACTTGTGAAACGGAAAAATATCGCGTGATATTTTCACGATTCAACAATTTTCGAATAACCACCGAGGCGATTGTTTGGAAAATAACATCAGAGTTGTAAAATGAGAAAAAAAAAAAAAGAAAGAAAAGGGAAAAAAAGGGAAAACGACAACGAAACGCTTTCACGAATTCGCCTTCTTTTCGCTATTCTTCAGGGAGAATCTTCGGATCGAACATCCCCATTTCTTCATACTTTCCCCATTTCTTTCACGGTTGTTTATTTATAGTGGCCGACTTCGACATGATTTCTTTCCAGATAGAGATAATACCACCAGGTATCCCACGCTCTCATAATTTCCTCGCCAAGGACAATACCTATATATCAACCCGATAATGTTTCTAATAACGGTCCAAGCTGTCACATGTGTTACATGATTTTCCATTGGAACACGTTTCCTGATATAACTTTTACACCTCGAAGAGTATAATCGAGTATTTCGACCGATTTTGAAATGGAACGCGTTTATAAATATTGTAATTATATCGATAGATAATGTATATTATGGAACAATATGTCGATACAGAGATTGACAATACAGAGACGTTGGAAATTCGAAAGGTCCAGAACTTTACAATAATTGTTGTTTAAGATTTTTGAAAGATTTATTTTGGAAACTTTTATGATCTATTATTGCTAGTTAAGATTTTTGAAGTATTTATTTTATCGCATTTGTTTTATGGCTGTAATACAAGTAGCCCAGTGTAGCAATATGGATTCTTCATGAGTTGAAAGACTAGCTAAAATTGGCTGCTTTTGCATCAACCATGCATTGTGTTGCTAATTCACATCAGATACATCTTTTTTTAGTGGAACCAGTGTCTGATTTTGCCAGGATAGGTTTATGATATAGATCATTCTCATCATTGCTGAGAATATCAAACAATGACTAAAAAGAAATAGTTGTTCAGATAGTATTTTACTTTCTCATACTTTTTTCATGA